CCACCTCATATGAAGCCCTTGTAATAATTATCTAGCGTTTTTCACAATTATGTATCATGACTTATATTGTTGTAATTTGAAGGATAACATTTCTTTGTATTTTATTTTTGTTAAGCGCTTAGAAACTTTGTGTTAAGCGCTATATAAATGTAATATATTATTATTATTATTATATACAGTATTAAAAGAATAGGGTACTTACAAAGACTATGCAAAAGTATACAAATGCCATTTTGAACCGCCTGACTTGATTTATGATATAGAAACCATTTTTTATAATTGCTTTGGTTTTTAGGCCCATGTGTGGTTATAGATTGCTGCCTTTGTATTCTTTGCAGACGTGAGTATATATTCGATCCATTTTCGAGCGAGCGAGCAAGCGAAGGGGGCAAGGACATTTTAAATTATATCCAAATTGTGAAGGTATGCGCGCTTGTGCAATAGATAGCAATATGACGATAATGAAACATTTTAATGAATATTTCTGGGTCTATTTCATATCATTTCATCTTGTTTTCATACAATAATATAGGCATATATTTGGTTGTAATATATACATTGTGGTGTGTGCATAAATTCACCAGGTAGGGTGGGGCTGATGCAGACGCGGATCCAGGATTTCTTAGGGGCGGGGGCCCAAGTTTTTTATTTTTACTCCCGAAAATTTAAAAGTCGCGCCAGCCAAATGTGCGCTCAGGGGGGGGGGGGGGGGGGGGCGTCTCCCCAAAAAGGTAAAACTAACGTGTTTTTACACGTTTATTCCCCAGGGCGGGGGGGGGGGGCACTGGGCTGATGACCCTTTTGTAAATTCGCGTAATTCATATTTAATGAAGCGAGCGTGTTATGGAGCTCAGTTAATAGATCGGGGAGTTCCCTGGTTCCACAAAAGAGAACGACGTCACCGTGCATCTTATCTAATAATGGGGCGTACGTTGATGGTCGTTTCGTTCTAAATGAATCATATTTATTTGAATGGGAATTAATTTTATTTAAAAGGATGCATAATGAGAAAACTAAAGGGCCGCTAAAAAACTGACGGCACATGTCCAAAGATTGAGACAATTATTATTAATGACACTAATATAAAAAATAATGGACATTTACATTTTGAAAAGGGGCACTTTGGATCGAGATAGCCCGGAGATAGCTACCTTCTAAAAAAAAAACACCAAAGACAATTGTGGGGGATACTCTTTCCCCTTGCCCCCTGGGTACAAGCGCGTAGCCAGGATTTCATTTTAGGGGGGACGGTAGTGAGCACGCAAAGCGTGCGAATCACTTAAAGAGCGCGCGAAGCGCGCTCCCTAGGGGGGTGGGTGCAGGGAGGGGGGAGTTTCCCCCCTCCCGCGCGAAGCGCGGAAGCTTTGAAAGAAGACGATTCGTTGTACCTTTCTCGACTCATAATCCTTGTCTGAATTCAGTCCCTCCCCTCTCTCGCGCGAAGCTTTGACGTTTCATTAAATTATTAGAGAAAGAAGTCGATTCGTTGTACCTTTCTCGACTCTTAATCCTTGTCTAAATTCTGTTCCCCCCCCCTCTCGCGCGAAGCTTTGACGTTTCATTAAATTATTAGAGAAAGAAGTCGATTCGTTGTACCTTTCTCGACTCTTAATCCTTGTCTAAATTCTGTTCCCCCCCCCCCCTCTCGCGCGAAGCTTTGACGTTTCATTAAATTATTAGAGAAAGAAGACGATTCGTTGTACCTTTCCCGACTCATATTTCTTAATTTAAACTCAGTTTCCCCCTTCCCGCGCGAAGCGCGGAAGCTTTGACGATTCATTGTACCGTTCTCGACTCTTTTTCCCTTTTTCTTCCTACGTCCTCTTTCTTTTTTTTCTTCTCTTTCTCTCTCTTTTTTTTTTTTGGCCGGCGTTTTGGGGGGGGGGGGCGACCGCCCCCACCGCCCCCCCTGGCTACGCGGGGCTGCGGCTATACGCCACGCTGCAAAATACTGGCAAATGTGTTCTGTCTGTCTCTGATGCAAACCCGCCGAGGCCCCCGTGCTCCTCCGTCAATGGAAAAGTACCTCGATTGAGGATTTCGATGACGAAATTCACAAATTGTATTTCAGAGCACATGTCGCACTGCGCCAACGTTATATTTGATTAAGGGGGTGTGTACCTAGCTGAGTTGACCATATAAGGAAACTAAAATTCCATAAAAGGAAACCCAACATCGTCATTGCTTCCATATTTGGTATGTCCTTTTCTTAATATGGACTGATGGACGGGAGAGGGCGTTATGAAAGTTTTTTTCATTTTTTCATTGCGTAGTAAATTTCACACGTGCATGCATGCTGTAATACATGTACGAACGGTACGAAGATTCGATGATTACGTGACACCGGCACCGGAGCTTCGCCGTATATACCTTCCATGTGTTATGCATTCATGTACGTACATGTACTTGTGTATGCAATGTCAATGAGAAACTCTGGAGAGCTCTAGCTATGTGATCATTGAAAAGCTGAGAAAAAAGGGATACACAAACAGAAAAAGTGGTAAGAAAAATGTTATGCGTGCCGATAATCTTATGAGTCAGAAAAGTGGAATAGATTTATAACAAACCATCCTCGTAATTTTGTGACATAATAATTGTTACCGACGAGAGCGAACATGCATGATCGTGATGTTGAGTGATTCTGTGCGAGTGAGATGAGACGACTGTGCTGTGCGACTCCTGATCAAACTCGTGTCATGTGCACTGAGAATAATGTAACTCACCTGCACAACTAGTACAACTTAAAGTTAAAGATCTGCTTAGCTTAGCCAGGTTGAATCCGAAGCCATCAGTATTCTGTAATCACTGCATCGCACCATGGCATCAGTGCATCACACCACCAGTGCAACATGGCCAAGAGACATGACGTCCATCACTCCATGCTTAGTGCACAGTGCTAGCTGTTCTGTTGTAGGCTATATGTATTTAATTGACTTTTGTCAGTTGGAGAGATGGATGATGCATCATGATGTAGACGTTAGGCTACAGTAGTTTGATAGATCTACCTGCCTACAGCCTGCATAGCAATCGGTAGGCGGATAGATCTACGGAGTTTGCTATATGCTCTGAGCTGAGTTCATAAAACATGAACCGAACAAAACTTCTATGTTTGATTGCACTCTTGAAATTTAGGTCAAAATATTCAAAAATTATTTGAAACATAAAAAAAAATATAATATCAATTTTCTATTTGTTGTCTATTTTATTACCTGCTGTCTTTGAAAAATGAAGATGAAAACTCAAATCTCTGATACGGTCCAAAATAAGGACTTAAATTGCGATCTGGCCAGTTATTTGTTAAGTTAGCCAGAAGTGATGGTATTATGGTATCGCTGAGAGGACAAAATAGAACCGAAATAAACCCAAGCACCGCCGTGTCGCGTGCCAATGGCGGGCTGCTAACGCAATTTATTATATTTCACCAGGTCAAGCTAAGTATCGGTAAATAAAGAAAAATAATAATTCCACACAATCAAGATGATGGCAGACAGTTTCACTCAAAGAAATTACTTCCAAGTCTTTCTAGACTAGAGATAGATGTTGAGGTTTAGGGATGTACATGTATGTAATTAAAGGGTACAGGAGGAACCCTATCTGGCATTTCAAAATGAGTAGAATAGTCGGATCTTCTCTCTGAAGCGAAGAACACTTAATAATGTAGAAATAGGTTCTACTCTATTGCAGCATGGATCAAGTAGGTTGTTCCTTTTGCATTTAAGTGGAGAACTCTACTAAATGCAGCAATAGGTTATTAGGTTCTACTTGATTGCAGCATGGACCTACATGTAGCACATACAAATTGTACATGTATGATCATGTAGGCCTGTGTAGAAGTCACCTTCAACTACTACCCAAAGCTATGTGGAGAGAGATCTGCAATTCATCTGGATGATCATTGTATCCGAGTTCAAAAGCTCCATTTACTTTGCATGGAGATAAGTTTACTATTGCCCTTTGCCTGTGTGTAGACATGGGAGGCCCTCATTGTTGACCTTGTATAAACTGTGTCGGCGTATTGGAAGAGTATTGTGACCTTTGGTATCTCGCAATCCATTGTATCTTTAGGTTACCCTTTGGTAAGATAGAATTAGCCAGTTAGTGGATTACTGATACTCAGTATTAATCAGCTCAATCCCTTCAGGTTGGTACATACATTGTACATGTACATGTGCATGAACATGTATGAGGCCTAAAAAAAAAGATGTTGTATTGGCCCTTTGCGATCGACCTAAAAAATCTTGAAATCTACAGTCTGCTTTTTAAAAAAGTTTTTTTTTTTTTACATGTATGAGGCCTAAAAAAAAAGATGTTGTATTGGCCCTTTGCGATCGACCTAAAAAATCTTGAAATCTACAGTCTGCTTTTTAAAAAAGGTTTTTTTTTTACCGTTTTTTTAGAGAAAAAAAAGTAAAACTGAGAAATATAAGCCCAAAGAGGGAGTTTAACAAAAACAAAAACTTAAAAAAAGAAAGAAAAAGATTTCCGACCGACCGACCAATGTTTTGGCACCTAAAGGGCAGTACAACATCTTTTTTTTAAGGCCTGATGGAGAGTCGTGTGTCCGGACAAACCTAATAAAGTCAACACTATTTTATTTGGATTTACCCGAAATGCATGCATCAAATAGCACTAGACCATCATAAATATTTATCCTTTGTAATGAGTAACATAAGTCTTTGAAGATTTATGAAATATTGCGTGCAAACCTCACTCTTTACTGTTTAAATCAACTGTCTGGATACACAACCTGTCCGGACACAACTTCTGGGTATAATAGCAAAGGCCTGGCTTTTGGTACTGGCTAAGTACTAGTATAAGAAGGGTACCATCATGAGCCTTACCAGACCTGTATGTCCATGTGCATGAACTTTGGGGCCACATCATCGTGAAAGCCAATTTGCAATCTGCCTGTGAGGGCCATGAACAACTGTGTAGTGTAGTGGCCATTAATTCCTTTTTTTTCATTTTCATTTTTGTAATAATGACTTAAGTTTGTCTATCCCGGCTTGTTGGTATATACTACATTATGTAGCTCACTGCAGCATTGAGTAGACAAAATTAGAACATGTTTTTAAGTGAATGTGGCCAACAACTGCAGTGGCTACACTGTACAGGTATGTACATAACAAGTAGTAGCCAGGACAGAGGGCTACACCTGTGACAACCACATCATTTTTCTTCTGCATACGTTATCAATGCCTGGATATTCCATGGTGTTATTTGGTGGATATGGCTAATTTTCAAAAGGATCTAAAAAGTGAATGGTTATCATGTGGCTCTTCGACAGCTACATGCAGATGTATCATGTGTATACCCCCCCCCCCACCCCCATGTGCACGTCGAAGCTCACCTTTGAATCATGACTTTCAGGAAGTCAAAAGTTTAACAATTATTCTGAACTATATTCTAAACTATATTCTAAACTACAAATTTTTCTATCACTTTATGAATTTGGTCACCTAAGTATTAGGTAAGGATTTCCGTTGAGCATTGTGTAGAAGGAATTTTTAGTAAATTCACACATACATGTACATGCAGTGGCAATTGTTCTGCTGTTCATAAACCGATAACTTCAATCTTAGACCTAACAATATCCGTTACCCTAAACTGACTAGAATATACCAATTGCATGTCAAACTTTGCTCCATGATCTTTTTTATTTTTTATTTTCATTTTTTATGTTTAGTTTTATTTTTAATTAAAAAACAAAGAAATAGATGCAAGCAAATGTCTGATCAGCAAAAAACACTTTTTACACATGTACATGGAAATACTGCTACTCCTGTATGCCTTAAAAAGAGGCTAGTCTTGTAATTACATGTATGGTCAGGCATAGGGTAGATCTCACTCTCGTGAAACCGTACTCTAATTATAAACTTTGCCTTGTTCTATATCTTGTCTACATGCCCTTGAGAAGAAGGTCAGGTGGCCTGACCACTGTCCGTTAAAAACTTAAAATCAATAAACAATCCTTTCTCTCGGACTAGGATCAATGGATAACAAGGCCACCTGAATGAGAGACTAGACTAACTGAATGCATTGTGTTGCACTGTGTAATCTGGTTTTACAAAAGCAGGCTTAATCGTATTCTGAAGTTACATAAATAGTAACTTTTGCTTTTTAAGTATTGAGCTTCTAAGAATCCATAACATCTAATTTCCTCTGCAAACACCCAATGAATACGGATCATGGTGGTATTTGGTAGTTTAAATTCAGGAGCAGACATAGTGACCTACGAATGCAGTATGCATAGGTCAAAGGTCATTATTGCTCTATGGACATGTGTAAATGCATAGTCTCTGAGTCATTATACAAAATATAAATGAAACAGCCTCTTGAAATAAGTCATTCACCTGATCTCATTTGCATAATTATGCAATACGCTTTATCTCGTACTGCCAGTATAAATCATGATCTGATTAAATGCAATATAACTCTAACTGCCAGTAGGAATCATGATCTGATTATGTAAGAAGCTATTTTGATACTGGCTAGTTCAGTAAGTGTTGCATTCAAGTGCATACAGCTGCAGGTTTGGTATCAACAATTAAAAAAGAATGGTTGCAACCATGTTGTTGTGAATGAGTGAGGCCATATCAGTCTCAAATTACTACTCAGCAAGGGTCAGGATGGGGAGGTCAGTAAGGTAAATTGAACAAAGGGTTAGGACCAGGGGGGGATGTCCGATGGGGGCTGAAGGCTGAAGGGGGGATCTGTTATCAATGGATCAGATGTCCCTCTCGTGAATGGCATGGATACGGGAGTATTTAGGGCCTCAGGATCCTGGAGTTTTCTCAAGTGCAATTCCATCCTTATATGGTGGTGCTCTCTGAACTTGAGGGAGCCGTAAATCATTCTTCTTTGAGGTGTAGTGGGCCATCCAACATTTTGTTTATCAATGGAAAGGAATGAGTGATTTGTATTAGCACTTCATTCATCAAGAGCTATTATTTCAAGCAGGTTACGGGGTGATTTACACATAGGCCTATTATATTACCTTTTTTTGCAGAAATATTGTGATGGTCTCCTTAGGGAACTGGATATTGTTTGCTGCTTGCAGCCTTGCATACATTTGTACAGTTTGAATTTACATTCAACCAATTGTCCATTTACTAACATTTACATTACAAAATTATAATGTATAGTTCCTTTATTTTTTGTAAAAAGATTAATCATTGATGTCCCAAGGTCTTGAACAATATAATACAAAAAAGAAACTGGCTAAAAACCAACAGGATGAAACAGAACCCCCCCCCCCCCTAAAAAAAAAAAAAAAAAAAGTTGGAAATTTTTTTAAAATAAAATTAAATAAATACATCTTCTGTGGTATTGAATATTGCTTGCCCGCATGTTTCAATGAAATAGAAAATTAGAAGAATTCTCATGCAGATGAAAAGTGAATGCATGCCTTTCTGTACATGGACCATTGGATTCTGTACAGCTGAATTTCCTGACTATGATTACAATGTAATGTACAGGTTTGTACATCCTGTTACAAAT